AACACACATATTTTTGAAACCACCAACTAAATATTGGTTGCTTCTCCCCGTGATTGGGAGGTTACATATCCCATCATATCCCCTTGTACTGCTGATTGAACCTAGAGTGGAGTATACCGTAAACTCACTGGTAGTAGTGTTCCTGGTCTAAACGTCCTGTAAAGCACCACCATCTTTGTTCCGAAAATCTCAGACACCCTCAGCGAAATCACCAAGCATCATGTTGTCACTTCCTTTGGGATCTGTCTTCCTTGGATTTGCAAGACCACTTAAAGCCGCATGGGTTTACCGGATAGATACACTGCAAACCTGTTTTTGCTCTGCAAATGAGTGTACCCAAATCTACCCAACAAAGAGCGATACTGATTTTTCTTCCAATCAATCACAGGATTTAGGATATGGACCGGGGCACCCTTTGGTTTTCTTCCCAATCGCAGGTGGATCATTCTTTCTGGGTCCCATCTAAGATTCCCCAACAAATTGGGACATGGGCTCAACATGTTAAGATTGAAACAAGAAAAAACAGATTTTACTGGTTGGTGGTATACCTACCCCTCGAAAAATATGAAAGTCCGTTGGGATGATTATCCCCAATATATGGAAAATAACAAATGTTCCAAACCACCAACCATATTTAATTATGTATATATATATATATATATATACAGTATATTATATATATATATATGCACAGTAATTGTTTGAAAAAACACACATATTTTTGAAACCACCAACCAAATATTGGTTGCTTCTCCCCGTGATTGGGAGGTTACATATCCCATCATATCCCCTTGTACTGCTGATTGAACCTAGAGTGGAGTATACCGTAAACTCACTGGTAGTAGTGTTCCTGGTCTAAACGTCCTGTAAAGCACCACCATCTTTGTTCCGAAAATCTCAGACACCCTCAGCGAAATCACCAAGCATCATGTTGTCACTTCCTTTGGGATCTGTCTTCCTTGGATTTGCAAGACCACTTAAAGCCGCATGGGTTTACCGGATAGATACACTGCAAACCCGTTTTTGCTCTGCAAATGAGTGTACCCAAATCTACCCAACAAAGAGCGATACTGATTTTTCTTCCAATCAATCACAGGATTTAGGATATGGACCGGGGCACCCTTTGGTTTTCTTCCCAATCGCAGGTGGATCATTCTTTCTGGGTCCCATCTAAGATTCCCCAACAAACTGGGACATGGGCTCAACATGTTAAGATTGAAACAAGAAAAAACAGATTTTACTGGTTGGTGGTATACCTACCCCTCGAAAAATATGAAAGTCCGTTGGGATGATTATCCCCAATATATGGAAAATTATAAATGTTCCAAACCACCAACCATGTTTTAAGACTGACAGCAAATTCCTAGCAAATCCCCAGATGGTATGCAGGTAAACCAGTTTTTGTTGGGAGGATATTTCATGAAGCCATGAGTAAACGATTCCCAGCCAACAAAAAGAGATGTAGTCTTTTTCACAGTAGTTCATCACATTTACCACATTTTAGGACATCCGGTAATGATTTTTAATGTGGTTACAACAATAGTAAACTATCCCCCCAAATCACCATAATTGGTGGTATGGTTACCATTCCCAAATGGGTGGTTTATGGCATTGTTTCAACCACATTATGTGTTTTTTTGATGGGAAAACATAACCGGACACTCACAGTTTGAACGTGTTCGGCCAGGTTTCTTGCCAATGATTCGCGAGATGAGCTCGAAAGCTTGGTGTTTTTCAGGATCGTAGAGAGTAAAGTAGGTCACGAAGTGATGCTTCTTGAAAGGTTCTAGCCGAAAGCCGGCTAAAACGGAGGTGACGTTTTGTTCATGATCCCGGAAAAAGCAATCATCAAGTCTTCCCTTTCATGGGTTTTCACCAAAAGAAAAACGAGCAAGAATCCAGATTTTAACAAGGACAAGTGGGGAATTCAACCAGTAAGAGCGACAGGTCAATCACTGCTGTCATTGTGTTTGAGGCTTCTGTAAATTGCCTGTGTTTCCGTTTAACACAGTGGCACCAACCATCGCGTAGCACAGTAGTACAGTTTGAGGTGAGAATCCGTTCTGTGTTCAATCGTTTGCATCTAAACAATCAAAATTCATTCACAGCTGAGTAGTAGGACCACTGCCCAAAAGCCATTTGTTTCATGGGTTCATATATATATATACATGTATGTAAATCAGTGGTGGCTAAGAAGAGGATAGACTTTAGAAACTTACAGAACAGCAAAGTCTTGCCATGGGCTGGAAGCCATCCACACCGGAGTCTCAAGGAGCAACATATACTTGGCAAAAACAAACAAGGAGGTACTATAACATGCGCACACACACATGCATATATAATAATATATATATATACATATTGTACATTGAAGATAAACATGTCTATTGGAGGAGTACCCCCCATCTCTATGTTTATTAATCCGGGGTTGACATTACATATATATATATATACATGACTTCATGTGAACAGCTGCCAGAACCTATCAAGATGTCGAGTAGAGGATCCCTTGATTCGGGGATTGCCATTGCCACAAATCTACGATTGGCTTCTACAAGGTGTGCCCCGCTAAGATATATGATAGATATGTGTGTATATATATATATATATTATATTATCCAAGTCATCACCTGGATGACAGCAGTTGTGCTCGTGGGCTGTGCATAGCTTCATGAAATCCGATTACATTCCATTAAATCCAATGAAATTTCATTCGCTTCCCATAAAAAAAATCCCATCAAATCCATGAACAATCATAAAAAACATCCATGAACAATTCCCATTATATATATAAATTTCAGATAATTTCAGCAAATCCCATGAAATCCTAGTAAAAATCCCATTCACTTCCCACTAAATCCCATTAAGTTCCCATTTCAATCCCATTCAATTCAACTAAATCCTCATCAAATTCTCATGTCTCTCATGTTTGGCACGGAAGGCCAGCCCCGTTGCCACAGCGCCACAGCGCGCACCGAGCGTCTCTGTTTGCCCGCTCCAACCACGGGCGCTGGCTCCACGTGAACGCTGCACTGGACCTGATGGACCCGGCGGAGTGGGATACTGTGGATTACTGGAAGGTATATATAGTTTGGCCAGTTGGTTGGTCAATACACTGTTAATTAGTGGTAAATATTAATGGTTATTGCGTGTAAACACAATGGACATGCCTCCCTATTTACCCAATTTTTCAAATGAAATTCATCCATCTTTTGGCATTCAGGAGTCCGAAGAGCACTCGCCAAGAACATGCATCTGGGCCGAACCGCAGCCCTTTTTAGATGTCAGCAGGAATAAAGAAGCAGAAGGCAGCGGGAACGAGTTGCCTGGTCTGTTGGAGTTTTTCCGGTTGGTTTGGGGCATCATCAGAATTTTCTTTGGTTTTGAGCTCAGGCGTTGTTCAAGGTTCCAGGACGGTTCACTTGTTGACTTTTGGGCAGCTGAAGAAACGTAGGTTATGAGCCCAAAGAGCTTGTACAACCCCATAAGAACTTCTGACATGATGCGTAGACGTAGAGCGGATGGCACAGCTGCCCACGATGCTGTTGCTGATGGCGCGGCTGAAGCGCATGGCGGCGCTGTCGATGCAGCTGGCGCTGAGCAGATGGCAGCTGGCGCGGAGCAGATGGATGGCGGCAGCTGGCGCGGAGCAGATGGCAGCTGGGCAGATAGCTGTGGCTGGCGCTGATGGCGATGCGGCTCAGGCGCTTGGGGCGAGAGGAGAAGCAGCAGAGAAAGGCTTGTACCAGCTTCCCAAACGTTGGCCTTGAGGACACCGGAAGGGGTGAAAGGGGGTCAACAGTTAGAGGCTGCAAAGATCTCTAGGTCTCCAAGTGCAACTGCAGAGCCAAGTAGTAGAGGTCAGAAGTCAAAGGAGGATTCAACTAGAGGTCAAAAGGAAACCCCAAGTAGAACAGAACCGGAGAAGAGCGAGAGATTGGCAACGCCGAATGGGCCACCAGTTTCACTTGGTCCCCAATCCTTTGTGACACCAGAGGGACAGGTTCAGAGCATGTTGCCACTCTTCTCGCCGGAGCAGACCGCGAGACTTCATGAAATTCATCAAGTACCCTTTGCATCACCTCCACCTTCATGGAATGGTCAGGCGATTGGAGAACTTGGGCACGGGGGAGCTGAACGACAAGCACTTCCAGGCTGGCTCACAGGGATGCTTCAAACGATAGGATCTCAGCAAGGTGAACATGAGGTGAGGCAGAGAGAATATATGTGGAGGATGCATGTGGAGCATGGCATTGAGCAGCTAGGGCTTCAGTTGCGGGCCTCACAACATGAAAATCAGAGACTTCGACAAGAGCGTCAAGAGTTGTTGGAAGCTTTGGAAAGGAAGGAATCATCCAGGTTCACGACTCCTGACAACAAGGTGGGAGGCGTCCTACCTTCTGAGGATGGGGCAGAAGCCCGGCAAGAAAGACGTTCTCAGGAGGATGGGGCAGCAGCCCAGCAAGAAAGACGTTTTCAGAAGGATGGGGCAGCAGCCCAGCAAGAAAGACGTTTTCAGAAGGATGGGGCAGGAGCCCAGCAAGAAAGACGGTTTAAGGAGGATGGGGCAGAAGCCCAGCAAGATCAATCAGAAAGTGATTCGTCATCTGAGGAGCAGCAGAAAAGAACACCAAGTCCAAGGAAGGAGTGGATAAACAGTCGCTGAAGATCATGCTCAAGTTGAGGCAGGGCATGCAGGAGCTTCAGAAGCAGATCATTGTCTCCAAGGAGGATGGCCGAGGAGATGAAATAGAAGTGGTGCGCTATGTGGCGGATCTCCCAAGGCTGGCAGAGTGGAATCCAGAGACGGCGCCCATCGACTTTGGAGACTGGGTGATTTGTTTGCATCCTCATATGGCAGACCTTAGCTCAACAAGTGAAATGTGGTGGGACTTGACACTCTCAACGGCGAGGTCTTGGTATGATCATCACATGAAGCTGTCCCCAATTCAGAGGTTGACGAGCACGCCAAAGCCTACACCTGAGCTGGAGCAGAAGAAATGGTCGAGATTGGAGAGACGGGCTTCATCTTTGCTTTTGAACGCGTTGCCGGAGACGTGAAGGAGGAGGTGATTGCGGCCAAATCGATCACAGCACTGGGCATTTTGTCTCGTGCGATGCTGCAGTTTCAACCTGGTGGGCTGACAGAGCGCAGCGCTATTTTGACAGCGCTGGAAGCACCTATGGAGGCATCTACAGTGGGAGCAGCGATCCAGCAGTTGAGACGTTGGATGAGGTGGAAGAGGCGTGCGATGGAAGTTGGAGTTTCAATTCCAGACAGTTCAATTTTGATGAAGGGATTGGGACGTTTGGTCAAGCGCATCGTCAACAACCACCCAGACCTCAACTTTCGCTTGTCCTTGGTCAAGAGCTCATTGCTGGTGGAGTCAGTTCCAACTTTGGAGACGGTGACGCAGTACAGCGAGCATCTTCTTGCAGAATTGGAGCAGATGGGACAGCAAGCAAGGAAAAAAGAAGTCATGGCAGAAAGCCAACCAAAGGTAAAGAAGCTTGAGGAGACGCCTGGAAGCAAGTTGGAAGAAAAGACAAGGCCGAAAGGGAAACCTCAAGAGGACTTTGAAGGGAGGAGGTAGCCATGCAGATTCTTCCTCACAGACTCAGGCTGCAGGAAGGGTCGTGGTTGTCCTTTTGGGCATCAACTTGATGGAGAAAAGAGGTGCTGGACATGCGGTGGAAAAGATCACATGGCCACGACATGCCCTACTGCAGAGGAGTTCAAGCCGAAAGCGGCGAAGTTAGGTTCAAAGACCCCAGAGAAGGATGTGAAGTCATCGGCAACATCGCCTGAGAAGTCCGAGGAGCAATCTGAGTCCACGGACAATGGAGGAGAAGAGAGCATGAGGACGCTGCTTGATGAGGCCAGCCGGATGCTCAAGTCCATGAATGAGGGCGACATCAAAGAAAAGAGGCAAAAGGGAGGAGATGCAGATCAAAAGATTTTCGGTCTACAGAGGCAGCTGGACGAGCTCAAGAAGGCCTCAATGCGACCTTTCCGCATTTCCAAGTTGTGCCCCATGGTCAACAAAGGTTTGTTGGACTCAGGGGCGACACACCCTTTGCGAGCCAAAAGAAAGGGAGAACGTCTTCACCATCTACCAAAGGTCAAAGTGACGCTGGCAGGTGACAAGGAGATCTACATGGCACTCACTCCAACGGGAGTCATTGTGGGCGAAGAAGGCGCGGAGCCCATAGCGCCCATGGGACTGCAGTCCTTGGATGTGAGATTTCATGGAAGCCAGAAGGTCTTCAGGTGGTGCACCCAGTACTTGGCAAGTTGGAGGTGGTGGTTGAAGCTGGATAATGTCCAATGGTATCACAGACCACGGCCATGAAGCTCATCGAAGAGATCGAGACCAAGGCCGTGAAAGTTGTGAAAAGTTTGAAAATGGGGGAGGACTCAGAAGAGGCGTGGTTGAGAAGGTTGGTTGATGAACATCCAGCTCTTCGAGGAATTCCTGAGGAGGTGAAGAAAGGTTTGGTGGAGAAACCTGCACCAGACATCCTGCCGTTGGGCAACAGAAGAAGAAAGAAACTTTGGAGGACGAAGGGCATGATGATCCATGCCTTTTCGGGAAAGAATGAAGGCTACACATTGGGAAGGGCTTTCCATGAAGTTGGAGGTGATCGTCGATTGATGCATGAGTTTGACATCACCCATGGAAAGCCTGAAGCAGATCTGTCACCTGGAGGTGGAGCCTACCCGCTCTTGTTGAGGGCAGCTTTGGATGGATTGGTGTGGATAGCCGGGCCACCATGCAGGACCAGATCGGTTCTTAGACATCTTGAAGTTCCAGGGCAAGCCATCCCGACACCTCTGAGAAGTTGGAATGGAGGAGAGTTTGGCATAGAAGGGCTGTCGAACTTTGAGAAAGAGCAGGTCACTTTGGATGATACGCTGCTGATGCGGTTTTTGGTTCTCTACATTGTGTCAGAGACGGTGCGCAGAGCAGCTGGGCTTGAGACACCAACCACTTTGATCGTGGAGCAGCCTGCTTCACCTGAACACAAGCCTGAAGTGGTGTCACTTTGGACAACACCTCAATGGAAGAGCTTGGCCGAGATCTATGAGCTGCAGGCCCAGCGTTTTGACCAGTCAGAGTTTGGGGCCATAGCTACAAAGCCAACAACCATAGGGGGAAATCTGCCACTTCAAGTACCACTTCAAGGAAAGAAAGGGCAACCACGTGATGTCTCTGGAATGACCAAGGCAGAGATCTGCGAATCGTCCAAGAGATTGTCACGGTGGCCACACTTGATGATGAGGTCTATTGCTGTTGCTCTCCAAACCTGCATCATGGGCGAAGAGGTCAAGTTACGGGCAGTTTCATGGCAGGAGCACATTGCAGCAGGCCATACTCCTTTCAGAAGAGATTGCAGAGTGTGCCAAGATGCCTGTGCGCGTGATGCTCACCATCGGCGACAGAAGTTGCCACCAAAGGCGGGTGTCCTTAGCGTGGACATTTCAGGACCTTTCAAAGAAGCACCTGATTTGCAGAAGAAGAAGGCGAAGTATCTCCTGGTAGCCAGCTTCACTTGGACAGCCAGGAACCAAGATGGAGAGGAGGAGGTTGAGGAGATACCTGAAGTTCCCCCAGATGCGCCAGAGATTGAGGATCCGGAAGCAGAGGAGGAACTACAGCAGATTGCAGATCAGGTTGAAATTTCAGAAGAAGGCCCAAAGGAGGACGCATCAGAGGAGCTTGAAGAAAGAAAGCCGGTGAAGATTGAGGTCACCAAGCTTTGGGAGCCTTTGGCATCAAGGAGCCAAGAGGATGTGTCAAGGGCGATCATCAACATGTACATGCGTCTGAGAGCAGACGGGTATCGAGTGACACAGCTGCATAGCGACAGAGGAGCTGAGTTCAGATCGAGGATTTTGGAAAAATGGTGCCTGTCACGCACCATCCTTCAGACGTTTACGCCTGGAGATCAGCCCCAAATGAATGGACGTTGTGAGGCGATTGTCCAGCACATCAAGGCAGCCATCAGGCGGACACTTCATGGAGCTGAAGCACCTTTTGATTGCTGGCCAATTGCAGCTCGCTTCATCAATGAGAAGTTGCGACAGAAGCAGGTGGACAAGGAGAAAAAGACACCGCCTTTTTGGTCAGAAAGAGGTTTTGGAGATCACGAGAATTGGAGCCAACACAGGAGAAGGTTACCTACCTATGTCCCTCTTGGGTTCATCATGGGCATTGGATTGAAAGGGCAGGTGGAACTCAGGCGCTGACGAAGATGGTCATGCAGGGCTTGAGTGAACCACCAAAGTTGGAGGATTGGATTGGAATTGAAGATGCCTTGAATCCAATCGAAGAAAGGAGAAGAATCAGACACAAATCGTCCATATACATGTTGGAGGTTGAGGACGCCGCTGAAGCAGATGAGCTTGAGAACCAAGAAGGAGATGGTAGATCGCCAAGTTTTGAGGAGGAGGAAAAGGATGCATGGGCCAAGAAACAAAGGGTCCAACGTCTGATAGAGGCGGAGATGGTTGAAGCCATGGGAGATGATGAGAAAGTTGCTGGCATGGTGCTGGATTCCATCACCATGGTCAAAGAGCTGATTGGACCTGAGAAAGGAGAAGAAGTTTTGCAGACACGCATTGTGTCACAAGCTGAAGTTCGCCGTTCCATTGAAGATTGGAGGCCGTCCATTGAAAGGGAGTTGACCTCCTTGTTTGAAACCAAAGGTGCGTTGCGAAAGATCACAGAAGCTGAGGTGAAGAAGCTGCTTGACGAAGATCGAGCAGAACTTATCCCCAGCAAGTTGGTCTTCACAGTCAAACCAGATCAGATCAACAAGGGCGGCAAGAAAAAGACACGATTGGTGGCTTGTGGAAACTAATTACTCAGATCGAGGAGAAGGACAAGACCTTTTTGCAGGTGGTGCATCGGCAGTGGCGCTTCGAGCTGCGTTGACGGTGGCTGCACAATTTGGTTTTGAAGGAAGCGTCATGGATGTGAGGACGGCATTCTCAATGCTCCTATGGTCTTGTCTGTTTCGAAAGACGAAAAGGGAGAAAGGATGGAGCCAAAGAGAGCTATCATTCGTCCTCCAGCCCTTCTCATTTTGGCTGGGTTGGCACGGCCAGACGAATTCTATGAAGTCATCATGGCCCTCTACGGCTACAAGGAGTCGCCTAGGTTGTGGTCAGACTATAGAGATCAAGAACTTGCAACGATGGAATTTCCATGTGAAGGAGGCATCCTGACCCTGCAGCAGATGGTGACGGAGCCAAACATGTGGAGGATGATGCTGAAGGGCCGGGGTTCTGGTCATGAAACCGTTGCGGAGGAGTTCGTGGGACTACTTTTGGTCTATGTGGACGATTTACTGGTCCTTGGACTTCCTTCATCAATCGCTGCAGTCATCAAAGGAGTGCAGGCGAAATGGGAGACATCAGAACCAGAGGTCATCAACATGCAGAAGGAGGTTAGATTTTTGGGTGCGGAGCTGTGGAGACGTGAAGATGGAGTTTGGCTGATGACGCAGACTAACTACATCAAGGACTTGCTGAAGAGAAATCTTGGAGGGGATCCCAACATGTGGCCTACAAGAAAAGTGCCATTGGTGAAGGAACCGGAAGTCATCGAAGGTGAGGAGAAGACTCCTGCAACAGTCCGAGAAGCTCAGCGAGTCATTGGTGAATTGGTTTGGATCACAGCCCGGTCCAGACCTGATTTGGCCTTCACCGTCTCCAAGCTAGCCTCCCTCATCACAAAATCACCCATGCAGGTGGTGCAGCTGGTAAAGCCGGTGTGGTACTACTTAGCTGCGACTATGAGCCAAGGTTTGATTTTCCAGAACAAGATGGGCGAGAAACAGCTCAATGTGTACACGGATGCGTCCTACAGTGAAGCCTCATTTGGATGCCATCTGATCCTTTGGGGCTCATCGCTGCTGCTTTGGAAGGCTGGCAAACAGCCCATTCAAGCTGCATCGACGGCAGAGGCGGAACTTGTGGAGGTGCTTGAAGGAGCGTTGGCAGGTGATGCGGTCAAAGTCGTTTTGGAGGAAGCTTTGGATGTTTGTGCTAGGTCATTTTCCTACACAGACAGCACAGCGGCATTAGCCATAATCACTGGAGATACTGGATCATGGCGCACACGTCACCTGCGGAAGAGGGCCTTCATTTTGCGCTCCAAGGTTTTGGCAGGAGAATGGATGATCAGGCATTTGCCTGGAGCTGAAATGCCAGCTGACCTGGGCACCAAAGTTTTGACAGTGCAGAAGTTCAACCAGCACGAAGAAACCATGGGCATGTTTTTGGGAAGTTTGGAAATTTTGGAAAAGGCCGAGAATGGAGAACAGACTGAAACTCCATCTGGAATGACGCTGGAAGCGAAAGAGAGGGCTTTGAAGATCATCAATTTGGTGACCAGGCTATCGCTAGCGGGAGCATCCACGGAATCAGAAAAGGAGCTTCAAACAGCACTTGTCGTTCCAGATCTCAATCCAGTTTTGCAGCAGAGTGACAGTCAGTTTTATTTCATCCTGTTTGTGGCTGTGATCCTTTTTGCCGGTTTCCTCATTGGTGCATGTGTCATGGGCATCTTCATGTGGCATAGAGTTGGAAAGCTGACTGTCGTCAGTTACAAGGGTTCATTGATGAACGTGCCTGCCTTTTTGTGGCATGTCAAAGAAAGAGATGAGGAAAAGAAGCAGCAGTGCCAAAATGGTCAATTTGCCAGGCCGACTTGGTTGTCAGCGACGGCTGCTGGAAGCGCTGCTGGCGCTGCCTCCAAGGCTGCTGGAAGAGCTGCTGGCGCTGCCGCCAGCTTCGCTGCGGGCGCTAGCTCTACGGCTGCTGGAAGCGCTGCGGGCGCTGGCTCTACGGCTGTTGGAAGCACTGCAGGTGCTGGATCTTCGGCTGCTGGAAGCGCTGCGGGCGCTGGAACTACAGCTGCTGGAAGCGCGGCTGTCGCTGGAAATAGCTATGGAGCTGCTGGCATTCCAAGTGCCGCTGCCGCTGGCGCTGCAGGTGGTGATGCAGCGGCGCGTGAACCGGCGATTTCTTTGAGATCAAGAGGATCTCGGTCCCGAAGGGGTCCAAAACAACTTTTCACCACACCGTTTGGAGGGAAGTATCATTGTGACCGTAAATGTCACGGCCTTAGACATGCAAAGGAAATTTGTCTGACGCCACGATGCCATCGATGTGGCCCACAGTCAGACACACCGCGATATGAACTGTATGCGATCTCGCATGGATATGCTCTGCATGTTGACTATGAGCATTGTCGTGATGTAGGATCCAATGGCCCTCTTCGAGCCTTCAATCCATGCGCGATTTGCTGCACTGTAGAAGACAGATTTGTAGAAAGGCTTGAGCTAGGTATGTGACCAGCACGACAGGTCACATAGGGGGAGCGCGTGTAAACACAATGGACATGCCTCCCTATTTACCCAATTTTTCAAATGAAATTCATCCATCTTTTGGCATTCAGGAGTCCGAAGAGCACTCGCCAAGAACATGCATCTGGGCTGAACCGCAGCCCTTTTTAGATGTCAGCAGGAATAAAGAAGCAGAAGGCAGCGGGAACGAGTTGCCTGGTCTGTTGGAGTTTTTCCGGTTGGTTTGGGGCATCATCAGAATTTTCTTTGGTTTTGAGCTCAGGCGTTGTTCAAGGTTCCAGGACGGTTCACTTGTTGACTTTTGGGCAGCTGAAGAAACGTAGTTATTATTAATGGTTAATGATGGCCTGAACCTTCCTTCGATACACTAAAAAGTGCTCAGAAACAAAAAACGCTCATTTCCAAAAAAAGTGCTCATTTGGTTGTTTCATTTTGTCGGGCACCCCCACATGTTCAAACAGCCGGATCCCCAAGGATTCTTGCAACATACACTGACACAATCACGCTATGCTTAGGATCACGCTGCTTAGGCTCTCCGCAACCAACATCATTCGCCGCTGCTGCAAGTAAGTCATCAAATTCACTTGGATGGGCCGAACTAGACACTTAAGCTATTGAATATCCACATTTGGGAGGCAAGTGTCAGTAGTGCCCGTACACTTTTTGAATTGCGCCCCGATTGCGCGAAATTGCGCCCTGATTGCGCGAATTTGCGCCCGATTGCGGGGTACCAAGTTGTCCAAAACGTCAAAAAATGTCAAAACACAGACAAATGTGTAGAATCAATTCTTTTGAGTTTGGTCCCAATGTGCATCCTCCCCAGGAAGCATAAATTAGGAGATAGATGCTAATTTAGATGCAAAACTCGCTTCCAGGATTGGCTTCCACCAGCTTGAGTATGGGCTACTGTAACTTTGTGGATTTCTCCAAGAGTTTTAATAGATACGAAGGTGTAAAATGGGTTTGAACCCCAAAAAGTGCTCATATCCATTGAAACCCCCAAAAAGTGCGCAGACCCTCAAAAAACGCTCAGGGATGGCAGAAAGTGTATCCAACCAGGGGTTTGCCAGAAAAAAGTGCTACAATGGAATCTCCAGGGGTTAATAATAATCTGCTTGGTGGTTGAGCCCTACCACTCTGAAAAATGATGGAGTTCGTCAGTTGGGATGATGACATTCCCAACTGAATGGAAAAAATGTTCCAAACCACCAACCAGCCAACTATAATAGTTCCAACTAATCACACAGTGCTGGTTGAGTAGTTGGTCTAAATTTGTCGTTGCTAATGGAACTGTTGACACCAACTAACTATAGCTAGTAACTAGTAGGATCATGATATATCATGATACTAAGTGTAATGCTAACTGTATTAATACCAGTTCGGCCAGCACTTGTGCTATGCCCCAGGTTCTTTTTTTTGAATAATTGTCGGAAGCCTCATTTTTGGTGACCCTTACAGTACTTTGTGGCCTTCCACTATGTTGGCGTAGCTCACATGCTGCGGGTATAGCTAGTAACTAGTAGTTAGGATCATGATGCTAATGAACATACTAACTCTAGAATAGCACAAAATAACTATTACTTGGATCGTCATCCAATTTTAGTAAATGGTTCTTAACTGGGTTTTGTTCACACATTATTTTCGCTTGGGTAATCCACTGAATGGGGACTTACTGAGCTAATCTCCAGTGGTTCTTGACCCAATGACCCAGGTGGTACAAGTCCCTACTATAACCAATGAACAAGGGCATGTTGACTGGCTCAAATGATGATTTTCGATGAACATGTCGGTAATTATTGTTAATGTTGGGTTCAATCATCAAAACTGGTGATTTAACGGGAAATCAATGGGGATATGATATGGTTTACAGCTATCACTATCAACCTAAAATAAAGCCATCTTGGGGATAGTTGCCTCTACCAATCATCATTGTTTTCTAGATATACCATGCTGATAATGGTTAATCTCTTCCCCCGTTCCTATTGAACACACCCCAGAAACTATTGTTTAATATTGGATGAAATCACATACTATTTGGGACCACAATGGTGGTGTTTATATTGGGGGATGGGATTATGTAGTGAAAAAATGTAAAAACATTACATATTCCTGTTAGGAGACTTATAAACAAGGGTCCATTTCTGATAATTTAAGCACTTACCATCCGAAATTTGCTAAGCATGTCCTAATAAGTGCTCAAAAGCCGCTTCCCATCATTCCAAAATCCCAGATGAGTTGGGAGGCAAACTACATCCAAGAAAGTGGCTGATTCTCAGAGTGAAAAACGCGTTTGCGATTTTGCGGGACCGATGGAATCCGGGGTGAAACACGCGATTCCTATTAATTATGCATGGTAATAATGATCATCCCCAATATATCAGATAATCCAATACCCATGTGACCATGTGCTCCATGTATGGCATATTTACCTACAAAACTGGATGATTTTTAGGGCGAATGTTGATAAATATTCCATACATAGAGCATATGGGATATATCAGATGGTCTAATCCCCTATAATTATCAACCAACAAGGGTTTTGAACACTGCTCATTTGGGTCTGAACATGATGGATTTAAACAACACCAGTAATATGATATAAATGATATATATATATATATATATATGTATATATATATATATATATTTATATGATGAAAATGATTTATGAGGTTTAATTTTGTCGTATTTAAACAATTTTCATGATGTTTGCGTTTGTCTGAAGATGCAGGATAAAAGGCCCAAAACCACAGTAATTGAATGGGAACCATCATGATTCACCAATTTGGAGTATACCAAGTTTTGGGCAAAGTCATTTCTGTGACAAGGTCATCTCCCTTTTCCTGTGCCAATCAAACTTGACCATGTTATACATGTCTGGGTAAATGAAATAATATTTCACTCGCCTTAGAAGTCTTTGGCCATAAAAAGGGATGATTTCCCGACAAAAACCATGATTCCCAGCGAGGTCGTGATGAAATTTATCCAGCTAACACATATAAACAACATTGCAGTGTTCCGTTGACATGAATCTTTACTAGAAACCACCGGTTCCAACTATGGAACCCAACTGGAAATCCATGTCACGGCTGTCCAGTCACATGTCCAAACTATGGAAACGGCAAACAAAAACCATGTCCAAACAGGCAACTCCTAAAAATGTCATCCAAATTACCCTGCTGTTCTTTCATCTTTTCTTTTTTAGATGATTTTGAAAAGGCAGCTTTTGGCCATCAAGGAGATTTTATTTTTCAACGTGAGTCTCATGACCACGTTATTGTGTAAGGGAGGTACCTCAGTTACATGTGGCTGATTTTTTCACTTGTGCTTGGGATGCACCCTGAGATGGTTGCTTGAGCGAGAGATTGTGAGTTCGTGAGTGTAAAACGCAGAAAAACGTCATTTTGTCACCACAACCAAGTCCATATTCACCGGGTTCATGGTAAAACCAGAACCTTGGATCTTTCTAGCTTCTGCGGATTTAGGTATCCACCAAAGATTTTCCGAAGTTTACGAGATGGATGCAGTATCTCTACCTTAGACCCTCACCATTCCATCTAAAATTATAGGACCGGATAACCTCACATGTTACCAACTTCTCTAGACTTAGACTGAGCATAGAAAAGCAAGAAGGGAAAAGGAAGTATGAGAGTGATGGAGGGGTGATGGTGGGTGAGTTTGTGTGTGTGTATCTATATGCATGCACAGGTGAGTGAGTGAGAGTGTGAGTGAGTGATGTGAGTGTGGTGTGTGTGAGCGAGTGAGTGAGTGCGTGCGTGCGTGCGTGCGTGTGGTGTGGTGTGGTGTGGTGTGGAGTGGAGTGGAGTGGAGTGGAGTGGAGTGCATGAGTGGAGTGGAGTGCATGAGTGGAGTGGAGTGCATGAGTGGAGTGGAGTGCATGAGTGGAGTGCATGAGTGGAGTGGAGTGGAGTGGAGTGGAGTGGAGTGGAGTGGAGTGGAGTGGAGCGGAGTGGAGTGGAGTGGAGTGGGTGGAGTGGTGGGGTGGGGTGGGGGGGGTGGGGTGGGGTGGGGGGGGGTGAGGGAGGGGGTGAGTGAGTGAGTGGGTGAGTGAGGGAGGAAGTGAGTGACGCCAGAGGGACGCCAGGGCGTACATCCGACCTGGCAGTGCACATTGCCCCACGCCTGCCACGCAAAAGCGACGGAGCCCAACGAACGCCACAAGGACGCCACAGCGTCAGAGGGACGCCAGGGCGTACATCCGACCCCCTGGCAGTTGACATTGTCCCACGCCTGCCACGCAAAAGCAGCGGAGCCCAGGAACGCCAGAGGGACGCCAGGGCGTACATCCGACCCCTTGGCAGTGGAGATTGTCCTAGGAACGCCAGAGGGACGCCAGGGCGTACAACCGACCCCTTGGCAGTGGAGATTGCCCCACGCCTGCCACGCAAAAGCGACGGAGCCCAAGGAACGCCAGAGGGACGCAGGGCGTACATCCGACCCCTTGGCAGCGGAGATTGTCCCACGCCTGCCACGCAATAGCGACGGAGCCCAAGGAACGCCAGAGGGACGCCAGGGCGTACATCCGACCCCTTGGCAGTGGAGATTGTCCCACGCCTGCCACGCAAAAGCGGTGGAGCCCAAGGAACGCCACAGGGCGTACATCCGACCCCTTGGCAATGGAGATTGTCCCACGCCTGCCACGCA